GGTGGGGGTGGGCAGGGGGGCAGCTGTCCCAGGGCTGGACCCACCTGCGAGAGAGCCGTCTGGGTGGAGGGCCGGGCAGGCTGCTGAGAGGTGACAGGGGGTCAGGGTCAGTGGGGAGGGGCCTCTACCTCCTTCTGGGCAGTGGTCCTGCCCTGTGGTCTGGAGATGGTTGGACTACATGACTGACCTTGCCCTCTCGCAGCTCCTCGGGCCTGTGGTCCCTTGTGCCTCAGGGACAGGGGAGGGACAGGGATGGTGTCCTGTCATCTCAGGGGTGTTACTTCCACCCCCGGAAAGCAGCACCCAGTCACGGTGCTCCCACTGAGAGGGAACCGGCCACCCCAATGTGTCCCAAATGACAGGGCCACGGAGATGCTTGAGTGTGCAGAAATGCCAATGGGGGCACACGCTGTCCCAAGGCTGGGCTGTACAAGCTTGTTCCACTGCCAGGCTCTTGGAAGTGGGTGTGGGTGAGTGAAGGGACTCATAGGGCAAAAAGCAGCTCTTGCCACCGACAGGAACGGTGCTGAGTGTGGCAGCTGTTCACCGAGTAGTGAGGCCCCTGACCCCAGAGGCATTCAAGCCAAAACTATGACCCCACAGAGGGGAAGCTGAGGTGGTGAGGCTGTCTTGTCCCTCAGGGCCTTTTGCTCCCAGCGGCTGTCACTGTCCACAGAACCAGCATGGACAGCAAGCAGACACCGTGGGGGTTCTGGCCTGCAGGGGACGGGCCCCAGGAACCACTGATACCAAGTCCAGGTGCTGGGAGCCTCTCCTTGTCGCCTCCCATTGGCCCTGTGCGCCCGCCCACCTGCCAGTCTGTGAGCTGCTCCCATGGGCGGGATGTCTGCCTGACCTCCAGAGGCTGACACAGGACAAGGACATGTCCCCAGCTTTGGGCCTGCAGACGGGGCAGCCGCGCCAGCATGAGTTTGCTGGTCTCAGCTGTCTCTACAGCAGAGGAGGCTTCACAGAAACCTGATTCCCTTCTGCTCAGCTCTGCAGCACAGACTAGGTGCAGGAGCATCAGGGCCCAGGACCTGCTGGCCGGCCTCGGTTGAGTGGCCTCACAGGTTCTGGCATCTGGGGGCTGCCTGGGGTCCGGGGTTTCATGCCCACTCACCTGTCTGGCCTGTGGCAGACACTGCGATGCTCTCCCCTGCTCCATACACTGCTGAGACCAGGACCCTGTACTTGGTGGCTGCCAGCAGGTCGGGGAGAGTTACATTGCTCCTGGGTCCTGGAACAGAGACCTGGGGGGCACGGGCACCTGAGCCACCCTGCCCAAATGCCTCTGCTCGCTTAGGCATCGCAGTTCCTTTTGTTTGTGTGTTCTGCCACAGGAGAGCTCAACAGACAGGTGCCTCCCCACCGCCTTCCCACCACCAGGACCCAGGGCCCACAAGGGGCAATGGTTCACAGCTCCACGGAGACCCACCAACTTCTCTGGTCCAGAGCCCGAGGCCACCGTGTAGGTTAGCCGGTAGTGGAGAACATGGCCGGTAGGGGGCGTCCAGCTGACCCACAGGCTGTTCGGTGATTCAGAAGCCAGGACCAGGTTGGAGGGTGGGCTCAGGCTGACTGGGGGGAGTAGGGGTTCAGCAAGGGCAGGGCCAGAAGCCAGCGGCAGGCCCCACCATGCTGTGCCATGCCCCCTACCCATTCCACCCTCCTACCCTACAGCCCCCACCATCATCAACTTCCCCAACACCCCACAACCCTCACTCCCTCCCACACCACCCCCCATGGTCTTCATGGCCCCCACCTCACCCCACCACGCCCTCCATACATACACCACACCCCGCTGCCCTGTGACCTTGAGACAGACAGGGCCACAGGTCAACTCTGAGACCATCTTGAGCACTGTGCCACGCCAGGTGACTTGGACCCATGGGGCCACTCCAGGAACACCTGCCTGAAGAGCTCAGGGAGACTCTAAGAACCCCACCAATCAGGCTGGAGGATCAGGGACTTGGAGAGCTGCCTGTTAGCAATTCTGGGAGTTTGGGGTCCTGGGGTTGTAGAGCAGAGGAAGTCTGGGGTCCCTAGGGCTGTTACTGCCCTGTAGCTGAGGGGTCACCTACGGGGGCTGTAACGGAGGGACACGGGGTCGCTGCGGGTCCCATCCCTGTAGTAGGCCAGGATGGTGATCTCGTACTCTGAGTGCCTCCCCAGGCCAGGCAGGATGGCCATGCCTAGGTTCCCTGGGACGGAGATCTGTGGAGAGGAGGGACCAGATGTGCACCCTGCACGAGTGGTGACCTCATGCCGGGCCTGGCTCACAGGCCATGGGCTGGGCTGGCAGATCCCCAAGGTGCCACACTGGGGTGTGAGCCCCGGAGCTGGGTGTAGGGAGAGGATGTCCTCTTTCTCACATACCTCATGGGCCTTCCCGTCTCCCAGAGGTGTCCACTTGATCTGGTAGACAAGCACACCGGATGCCACTGCAGCCGCCCACTCCAGCCTGACCTTGTCCCCAGGGAGCTCTGTCACTGATAGCTGGCTCGGGCTGGGGACTTTCCCTGGAAGATGAAAGAGAGAGACTGAGGCTGCGGTGGCAGGGCCTGCATGACCCCCTCAGGTGACTCACCTTAAGCGCCCTCAGGTGCCTATTAAAGAGGATTTGCTGGCATGGATCACACTTGGGGGCAGAGGGGACCCCCAGTCTCCATGTGGTGGCTGTGTCCACATTTCTGCTTTTCCTAGGACTAGGCTACAGACTGAACACAGACCTGCTTCCTGGAGGTGACCCAGCACCCAGGGCCCCTTGAGGACCCTGCACCGTCTCACCTGTCCAGGTATCTGTCCCCCTGGCTCAGGGCTGCACAGAGGAGACACCTAAGCATACGTGTTGATTTGAACCATCCACTGGGGAAGAGGGACATAGCCTGGCCTGGGGACTCACGTGTGGTCAGGCGGCCGGTCAGTGTGGAGGAGCTGCCCCCAGAGTAGAGGCAGGTGACACGAACAGTATAGGTGGTGGAGGAGGAGAGAGGGCCCAGTGTGACTGAGGTGGCATTCCCAGGAGCCTCTGTCTGTAAGGCGAGTGGGGACATCGCTAGGGTCTGGAGCCCACCCTTCAAGCTGGGGAAGGGGTAGCTCCTGCCTGGAAGGAGATCGAGGCCCAGGACCTGCTGCCCAGGACGGACCCATGCCCTCCCCCAGAGTGGGGAAAGGGGGTATGGGTCCCCCACAATGGGGTAGGGCCTCTTGGGGCCTCCCCCCAAACAGCCCAAGAGCAGCAGTATTTCCACCCCTCACAGCTCCCGCCTAATGCCCCAGCCTCAGCAGAGCTGTCAGTCACGGTCATTTTAGGGTCCTTCGCTTCATACATCCTCTCCTGCCAGGCTGAGGTCCCCAAGGGCGGGGACAGTGTCAGTGCTGTGTGAATTCAGGGGTGGGGACAGCTGGAGGCGCCATGCCCCAGTGAACACTTCAGCATCCTGGATGCTGGGTCCCCCAGTGACCCCCACAGGACATCAGCCTGCTCTCACCTGCCCCGAGTGGCTGCCCTCGCTAGACACGTAGCTGACCCTGAACAGGCGCACAGGCCTCAGAGTGCCCTCCCAGGACACGCGGGCCGAGTCGTGGCTCACATCGGAGAAGCCCAGGTGTCTGGGGGGAGCCAGGGGTGCTGTGGACACAGCAAGGCAAGGCTTCAGGGACCAGGTGCCACCCCCCAAGGGTATGGGGGAAGCATGGGCGATAGCCAGAATGGGTAGGACCACCAGATGGGGATCCCACCCCATGGAAGGCTTAGGGAACCAGAGTGGTGCCTCTGCCCATTGGTGGGTGGCAGACTGGGGGACAGGCACTCACGGGTCCTGGCGCGGATGCCCCGGGCTTTGCTAGCCTGTGTGCCCTGCAGGCTCTGCACCCAGATATTGTAGTCCGTATCCGGCTCCAGGCTGCCCAGCACCACTTCTGGCCACTCCACCTGCACCTGCAGGGACAATACTCACATTGGCCCCTGCCCACCTTGCTCCCCACCCCATCGGCCCCAGCTGCCTTCTCCACCCTCTACCACACACCTCTCTACCCTCCTCCTCGCCCTTGACGGAGGCCGGTGAGCACCGCACCCGGTACTGGGTGGCCCCGGCCGAGGGCTGCCAGGTGAGTCGGACAGTCCTGGGTGTCACTGTGGCCAGGGCAAGTGCCTGGGGTGGAGGCAGAGGCGCTAGAAGAGGGGGCGCCACAGGCAGAAATCACACCACAGACCAGGGGACAGAGAGGCCAGAGAACAGCACCTGGGGGCAGCTCCCCAGAGAGGATTCTAAATCTCTGTCCCCAGATTTCACCCTGGGCCAAGTTTCCAGCTAATAGCTCTGAGGAAACATGGCCATCCCATGGGTTCCTGTTTAGGGTGGGAGAGCCATGGTCCCAGCGGGTAAAGGGCCCCATGAGGAAGCCAGAGGCAACTGGCCACATGCTGTGTGGTCCAGAAATGGCAATGATGGGGCAGATCAGGGGTTGCTGGGTGGGCGGGGGGCGTGCGAGAGCTAAGCGCTCAGGATTTCTGTTCTAAAGTTGACTGTGGTGACGGGTGCAGGACTCCGTGAACACACTGAGAACCACTGGCTGTGCACCTTAAATGAGCTGCAGGACATGTCTCAATGACCGTGGGAAAGAGCTCAGGGCAGGCCTGGGCTGTGGCCTGGCAGGGGCCAGGGGCTCCAGAAACACATGAGCAGTTAACAGTAATGGGCCCTATTTCTGGCTGTGGTGATAGCACAAATGACGTCATTGGTATTCAGAAGAGGACACTGAGGGTCAGAGAGGTCCTGGACTTGGCCTCAGTTACATAACAAGTTGGAAATGGTGCCCCCACCCCAGGTTAGGACTAAGACCCAGGACTGCCAGCTGCCCCGCCCACCTGTGGTCACCAGTCCCCGTAGGCCCTCTCCAACCCCCGCCTCATAGACAGGAAACACAGACAGCAGGTACTCCGCTCCAGAGGTCAGGTTGTGCAGTTCCACAGACGAGCTGGGCCCCTCCACCAACACCTGGAACAGGAGCCTGGATGGAGCTGGCAGGATGGGGTACCGGGGGCAGGGCAGAGAAATGAAGTCGGTCCTGGATTCCTGTGCGCCCTTGTCCCTGCTCCTGGAGCAGAGCAAGCAGTCCTAGAGGGTGTGAGCACCCATACCTGCTGTATCTACTCACTGGGCCATCTGACTGGGCTCTCGGGGCCTGGGCTTTGGCAGGGCCACTCCCATCCTGCCCTTTCCCCACAATGACTTCGTCATCTTGGGGTCTCCATTCCAGCCCTGACTTTGCATGGGGCAGGAGGAGGGCCACTCTCACCTCCCTGGGGGCACCACCCCTGGAAGGCCGCCACACCACCAGGTACTTGAGTGGTGGCTGCAGAGCTGGAGTCCAGGACAGGTGGACACTGGAGGAGGTCACCTTGGTCAGGACCAGGCTGGTGGGAGTGGAGAGGGGGTCCAGGGCTGGAGTGGCTGCTGCTGGTCTAACTGAGGGAGGAAAGGCAGATGGTCAGCGCAGGCAGCTGGCATTAGAGGCTTTTCCTGCTCTCCCTGGCAGCCACTTTGAGGAAAAACAGGTGTTCCCAGGTGGGGGCTGCCGACCCCAAAGAGCCGCGGAAATGGGGCGGGAAGGGTTCCAGGGAGGTCCTTACAGGAGCCACAAGCCCCCGTCCTGCCCAAAGCAGCAAGGTAGGGACTGGCCAGGCTGCAAGCGTGGGTGACCCTGCCCTAGAGCCCCCACCTGCCGGCTCACCTGGGCCCTGACTCAGGCTCCTGCCCTGGACCTGTTGGCAGACTAGGCGGCTGAGCAGGCCAGCCAGTGTGCTGAGCTGGGGGAAGTCCTGCACATTGTGGACGGTGATGTCCAGTGGCTGGGATGCCAGGAGCCTCAGCTCAGCCTCATGAGCATTCTTCACGCCTGCCCGCCAGACGTGGAGGGTAAGGAGGAGCCCTGCAGAGCTGCTGTCACACCTTACAACCTGAGCCACCCAGCAGGCGGGGAGGCAGTCCCAGCCAAGACCCCACAGGCCCAGGACAGGGTCACCTGACAGGACCCCAGGAGAGATGGAAGCAGGGGGCTGGTGCAGAGGTAAGGCCAGGCCTGGTGGGGAGATGTTTACAGGCAGCAAACCAGCCCATCGCCCCCCCACCTGCCAACTCTGCACTGTCCTCCAAGTGCCTGTGGTGCTCAGATCCTGGCTTGGGAGCTGTCCCCAGCTCCCTGGAGCAAGGGGGGGTCCTTGTGCTTCACAGACTTGGGGCTGAGGCTCAGAAAGGCCACGAGGCCGCCAGCCCGAGGGGAAGCAGGCATGCAAACTCCTACCTGCACCGGGAGCCTACGGCTGAGAGGACTCCGCAGAGATCTCGCTGCTCACCCACAGCAAAGACGTCGACATCCAGGCTCCTGAGGATGCGGCCAGCAGCATGGGCGTCGTCCTGGGACTTGCCGTCTGTCACTAGAACCACCACCTTGGCTGACTGTGGACGGAGCCCCACTGTAGGCTTCAGGTTCTTCTCCAGCACGTGGGTCAGGGCCAGGCCTGGGGGGCAGCGGGGATCAAGTAGAGAGGCCCCAGCACGGTCCCTGCGTCCTCCCCACCCAAGCCCACTCCTTCAGCCACTGGCCCCCATGCTCCCTCTGCCCACCGTGTCAAGCCTGGGCCCTCCAGGCTGGGGGTGTCCGCAGGGCAGGGACACCTCCTCCCCTGCCCTCAAAGGCACTACACACAGGAGACCCGGGCCTGGTACTCCACACCCCGCCCCCGAGCAGCTGTGCAGTACCTGGAGCAGGGAGACCCTGAGCAGGGGGCCCCGGTGTGGGGGGAAGGGAGGAGGTTGTGCCCTGGACACAACCCAGGAAGCTGCTTCCAGAAAGACCACACCCACGCCCACGCCCACGCCCACTGGTGGCCTCTTCCAGAAGCTTCTATCAGAGGAGCCACTCACTTTCAGTGAGACCACTGGCTAGAACCACATTCTCACCCAAAAGAAATGAGAGTGATTTGCCATTTACTAAGGTGAGAATGGGGGTCAGCTCCACCCAGCACTGGGCTTGGTTTACGCATAAATGTATAAATTCGCAAGTCTGGGAGAGGCATAAAGGGAGGCTGGCTCTAAGGACAGCCTGAGAGGAGGGGTAGTGAGGTGGGGAATAGACCTGTGAATGTGTTTCCCCCTTTGTACTGGAGGCTGCGTGTGGCTGCCAGCACCTCCTCCTTGGTACTGAAGGTGTTCAGGTCCCACTCGGTCTGGGGGTCTCCACTGTACTGAGTCAGGCCTGGAAAGGTGGGTGCCAGGAGTGGCTGCTGGAGTGCTGGGCAGGGGCAGGATGCATACAGCCTGGCCACCTGGAGTCACCAGGAAGGGCACATGCTTGCAAAGCCCCCGCTTTCTACACAGGATTCACCAGAATGTCCTCCCAGGGGCCAGCTGTCCCACCAGCCCAGCTGGGGACTCCCACCTGGCCTGGCCTGGCAGCTGCAGGCCACACCAGTCAGCTGACAGCTCTCCTCAGGCCCCTGACCAACTTCTTGCCTGCACTGGGGCCTGGGGAGAGACTCTGAGTACCACAGGGGTGGGGACACAGGGCATGGGGCCAAAACCCACCTACTTGGACTTTATCTGGCCCAATTTCAAAGGGCTCGATGACGCTGGCCAGGAAGTCTTTGACCTGCTGGAAGTGACTGTGGCCAATACTCCAAGACCCATCCACCAAGAAGATCATGTCCACGGGTACAGGGGCCATGCAGCGGAACTGAGGGCCAGCTGGGTGGGCAGGGAGGGAGGTGAGGCATGGGTAAGGCACACTGCTGCTGCAGGGCCCCACTGCGTCAGGTGTCTCCAGCCACCCAGAATCTCCTTCCCGGGGGTTGGTGGAGGGTGAGGGGCCATAGGGCTCCTGCCTCCAAGTGAGGCAGGGGCTGAGTCTTGAGAGAAAGGGACTCCAGAGGTGCTTGGGTCTCACCAGACTTGGAAAACCCCATGTGGACCTTGGTCCATGGGGTCAGTTCCTCCAAGCCCTCTAAAGGGGGCCTAATGAAACACCGAGGTGCTCCAGTGCCTCCACCCTCCAGAAGCCTTGGAAAGGCTGGCCACTGGGCATGGTTGTCTACCTGAGGGCTGCTATTTGAGGCCCACCTCCCCCAGCCAGCTGACACCCAGGCCCAGTGGGCAGAAGCTACCCAAGGCCTGGAAGACTGGGGTGGGTGGGGTCAGTGCTATGGACAGCTCCATTGGCCCACTCTGGGCCAAGGCCTCACCTCTGGGGTTGGGCCTTGTCCTGAGGACCCAAGAGTTCTTTGTAGACAAAGACTTACTCCCCAATCCTGGGTCTGGGGTTCCCTGAGTTTTGCACAGAGACAGCACCTCTAGGCCAAGCCCAGAGTCAGGGCCAGATGCCCCGTGGAAGGTCCTGAGAAGGCAGGTGCAGTGAGACCCCATCTGATGGGGGAGGCACAGCCCTGGCTGCAGGGACTCATGCAGAAAACAGCATACCTGTCTGCCCTGCCCTGGGTCACACAGCTGTCCCCCCCACCTGCAAGCCCACGGAACCCGGTGCCCTGGCTGTTTTACCTGGCTTCTCTCTCTTTCCCACTGACGTCCTGGTGTGGCTCCCCCTCTCTGGGCTGGGCTGAGTAGGGGCCTTTCCCCCGGGGCCTCTGGGGGAGTGCTGCTCCTCACCGCGCACTCCTGGGGGAGGTCACAGCTGTGTCCTCTCACCTGCCACACTCAGGCTGGGGGACACCTGAGGGGGGTCGGGGGTGGAGGTGGGACCAGGCACCAGGGCCCTGAGAACACCCCAGTGGATGACCTGCCCCCACGGGTTTGAGTGAGCCCCAGAGGTGGCCAAACGCTTTAGTTAAATCTAGAGAGTGTGAGGTCAGATATGAGAAAGAAATTTCTGGCCACATGCAGAGAAAATGTGAGAAGCTAGGTTATCCCCTCCCCTAGTAACTTACCCTCACCCCACTTGGACCCACCAAGAGTGGGAGAGTCTTGGCTTGGGGCCAAGGTAACTCGAGGGTCAGGGTCTGGGCTCCCCACATGGGAGGGTGAGGGCTCCAGAGCTGCCCCCAGGGGCCTCCGGCTGCTCCTGCTCATGGAGTGACTCTTCAAATCCTCAACTGCAGACAGACACAAGGGGCTGTCAGGACCCCATCAGGGTGGGAGCAGAGGCCTGGGGGGCTAGGAGGCCAGCATGTACAACCCTCTCTGCAAGGGTACATCCAGGCTCCATGGGACTCCGGCCCCCTAGGAGACAGGCAGGGATGTCAGGAGTTATAAGCAAGGCTCCTGGGCGGCTGGAGAGTGGAACTCAAAACCAGGCCTAGGGCCTTCAGTCCAGAGGTGTTGCTAGGGTTCAGCTCCAGCCTCCTTGCCACATACACTCACCCCCCAGAAGGTGGAATCCATGTGGGAGATGGCGGACTTACTCACAAACTCCCTCCGAGCCAGCAGGACATTCCCTGAGCTGGTGAGCTCAAAGATCTGCAAGGTGTACCCCTTGGAGGGGCTCAGGCCTCCCACAGTGGCCTTGGGGGTCTTGGTGGTCAGCATCACCTCTTGCTCTGAGTCCCCTGGGGTGGGGTTGGGAAGAGCTGTTGAGACCAGCAAAGTGCGTGCACGTGCGTGCGTGTGTGCGCATCTATGTGTGCATGTGTGTGTGTGTCAGGGGCTGGTGAAGTCCTCCAGGCTCCTTGTCCTGCACACACACTGCCCTGCTTGGGCACCCAGACCACACCAGGCCTTGGGGACTCTGGGGTGCCGGTGTGTTAGCATCAACTGTGCTGACACTCACCCCATCTGTCCAGAGGCCTGTCATTCTCTCTTCTGAACCCTCTCCAGTCCCATCCCCCCACCCACACCCCACCTGCTACAGGCTGGACACAGACTTTGTACAGTCAGAGCTCTGGACACGAAAACAAAGTCCTACTCCCATGTGCCCTGTGCACTCTTATAGGCTCATTATTTTAAGAGAAGCTGAGCACGTTTCCCAGGTAGAGCATGAGACAGATCCCACACTAGCAGCATTAACCCATCAGCTCAACAAGTGCTGCCTTTGCCCGTGGCTCCGACCCCAGAGAACACCGTCCACATCAACGCAGACAGCTCAACCACAGCGCCAGGACTCCGCCCAGAGCCAGCAGGCGCCCCTCCTGGTGAGAGTGAGGAACCCGACAAGGCTGTGAATAGTGGGAAGAAAGGACAGGAAAAAAGTAGAACAAGTGTAATGGCATAGGAAGATGGCAGATTTAAACGGAAATACATCGCTGACTAAATGTAATGGAAATGGAAAGAAATGTTTCAATTAAAAGGCAAAGCCTGTCTCACTGGATAAATACAACACCAGCTCTATGCTCTTTGGAAGGTGTGTCTAAAATAAGTGAGTGGAAAAGTCTACCTGGACCAACTCAATGGCAGAAAAGGTAGACTATCAGGGAAAACACTGCCAGAGAGATAGTGAGGAATTCTCCTTATGAGGGGGCAATCTGCTAGGAAGACATAACTTAAATGTGTACCCACCTAATAACAGGGCCTCCACGTGTAAAGCAAAGCTTGGTGAGAACCAGAGAAAGACGCATCTACGATCACAGTAACTGACAGGATGAGTGGACCAAAGATCAGTAAAGATATAAAAGAAATTATCAACGGAGTGGAAAGACAACCTACGGAACAAGGGAAATATTTGCAAACCATATATCTGATAAAGTGCTAGTGTCCAATATATATAAAGAACTCATACAAATCAAAGGCAAAAAACCCCAAATCATCCTATTTTAAAATAGGCAAAAACCTCTCCAAAGAGGACGTACAGATGCCAACAGGTACATGAAAAGATGCTCAACGTCACTAATCATCAGACGACGCAAATGAAAACCACAGTGAGCGATCACCTCACTCCTGCCAGAATGGCTGTTATTAACAAATCAACAAACAAGTGCTGGCGCGGGTGTGGGGAACGGGGCCTGGTGCACTGCTGGGGGCGCGCGGACGGCGCAGCCCCTGTGGGAAAGTGCGGAGGGTCCTCAAAACATTGAAAACGGAGCTGCCTTTTCACCACAATCCCACTTCTGGGAATTTATGCAAATGAAACTAAATCACTGTCTCAAAAAGACGCCTGCATCCCCATGTTCACTGCAGCGTTGTTTACAGCTGTGGACGGACGGCTGAGGAAATGGGACACACAACGGAATATTCTTCAACCATAGAAACGAGGGAATCTTGCCGTTTCAGGAACATGGATGGACTTGAAAGCATTATGCGAAGTGAAATAGGTTGAAGACAAATCCTGTATCATCTCACTTACATGTGGAATCTAGAAACCAAACAAAGCTCATAGAGAAGGAGATGGGGCTGTGGCGGCCAGAGGCAGAGGGGAGGGAGGGGTCAGAGGAGGGTCAAAGGCACAGACTCCCAGGTATGAGTCAGTAGAGGGATGTAACACAAAACGTGGCTGCGGCTGGTGCCTGTCAGGACACAGGGTAGTTGCTCAGAGAGCAAATCCTCAGTTTTCTTCACAAGGAAAAGTGTCTTTCATTCTGTTGTGAGAGGATGGGTGTGAGCAGAGCTATTGTAACCATTTCACAGCATGGAAACCAAGCATCTCGCAGGCCTACCTGATATACTGATGTGTGGCAATTACTTCTCACTAAACTGGGAAAGGTATAAAAGATTTGCAAATGAGGTAGATGAATTCGGCTTTAATTAAAATAGAAAACTACAAGTCAAGCGGGTTATTCTTGAGAGCAGAGGGTGGGTGGAAGGGGCAGAAAGGACAGGGACAGCTTCCTTTCACCCCAGGCGCAGCCTCAACCCCCACCCCCATCACGTTTGGGCTGTTCCTGCAATTACACACTCATGTCTGTTAGCTTTTCTTTGGGTTTTTAAGAATTGAGAAGTGGCCGTGTCTGTAGAGCTCTGTGGTTGGCCTGTGCTGGGCCCTCCAGGCCCCCTTTGGCCCCCCTCCTGTACCCGGATGCCCTTGCCCCCAGCCTCAGGCACGCAGAATCCTGAAAGGGCTCTATGCTGGAGCAGGGATCCCTTGTTTCTTCAAAAGCCAGGGACTGGATGCCTTCTGCATGTGCTGGGCATGGAGTCAGCATGGGAAATGTAGAATCACACAGCCACATGGCTGCTGAGATGAAGAATGGGGGCGTCCCCTTCTATCCTCATAGCAGGGGGTAGGTGCAGGCCCCGTACCTGCCATGGGCTTCACCTGCACCAGGTAGCCAAGGCCACGCCCCTCCGACTCCGTCCACTTCATTTGTAGCCGGTCCTCGGGCAGCACAGTTAGCTTCAGGCGCCGGCTTGCTGGGGAGACAGTGTGGTCACGACCGACCCCAATGGCCACTCCAACAGCTGGGGGGGGGTGTCAGGGGACATGCTCTGGAGGCCTTGACCCACTGGGTGGTCCAAAGGGACCCTGGCCCCACTGAAGAGACCTTGAGAAGATGAGGCCCCATCCAGGTCTGAGTCCAAGGTGCCAGGGCCATCCCCGCTGGCTTTCCGAGGGGTGTCCCCCTGCCTGGACTGAGGGAGGCCCAGGCCAGTATTCAGAGATGCGATAACCACTCTGCAGGCAACGGGAGGCACTGAGCCAACCAGTCAGCTGCCACCTCCCTGAATTTCTCTGTCAGAGTCGGAGTGGGTGGTGGGAGAGGCAGCTGTGTGGCTGCTGTGGTCCCCCAGCTGCTGAGGTCACAGCTGGGTTGACACAGCCCCGTGGGGGTGGCGCACCTTGAAATGTGAGGGTGCCATGGGGAGGGGGGTGCCCTACAGGGGTAGGGGTCGCCTGAGGGGTGGCCATCTTGGGGGATGGGGAATAGTGGTGGTTTGAGCCCTAGGGCAGGGCCTGACCTCCCGGGGAAGCTTCTGGGAACTCCATGGTGAGAGCAGCTATTTTTGGAAAACAGAGACAGAGATGGGCTTCTTCTGGCCACCCCACTGAGGGCTGGGGTGCACAGGGAGGAGGGCATGGGCCGGGGAGCACCGGGGCAGATACAATGCCAGCTTCAGAGCAGGAAGCAGCTGAGCCAGTCTCCGGGTGAGCCAGGCTGCTCCCCGGGAACGTCAGACTGAAAGACAGGAATGTCTAGAGTGGCGGAGCTTTGAAAAGCCACTTGTGAGCAAGGGGCCCAGCTTTGGCTGATGAAGAGCCCTCTGTCACTGTGCCTCTGACGGGCTGGGGGAGGCACCCCAAGCTGCCTCTGGGTCTCCATGTTGGGGGTAGAGACAGGGTGCTAGCAGGCAGCTGGGGCACCCCCCTCTGCAGGGCCATCCTTGGGGAAGGGCTGCCCACCCCAGGGACTGCCTGGAGCCTGCAGGGACCTGGTGAGGGGAAGCCCAGGACGAGTCCTGAACTCAGTTGTCATGGGGTCACTTAGACTTGGCCCTACCTTAGTGTGGTCCTGTCAGAGCCACGGAGACCAAGGGACCCACCCAGGTGGCAGTCACTGAACTGGTGCAAAACCAAACAGAAGACGTGCCATAAAAATAAGAAAGTAGGTCGGCTCCCCACTGGTCTGGCTGTGACACACCCCAAGCAGAGGCATTCCTACATTAAGCCGCAACCTCAGCTGTAACCCAGAGTGCAGCCTGGACAGTGGTGGCAGGTGGCCTCTTGCCCTCACTCACCCACTGGGGCCAGCAGGTGCCAGGGAACTGCACACTGGGGGCAAAGCCAGCTCCCTATGAGACCAGAGCCTCAGCCTAGGACACAGGGGCCATCCCAGTGTTGTCTGACCCAGCTTTCTGGGGACAAGTTCAGTCAAGACGCGTACCTTTTGGAGAGTCAACCCTGCAATGGACATGACCCAGAAAGGGGTTGAAGGCATGACATGGAGCCCGATGCCACATGGGGCAGGGGTCTGGGGAGAAGCTGCTGTGAACTGTGACCCCTCTATGTGCCTAAACGGGCTAGGAAGGTGCTAAAAGTCACCCCATGTTGGGAGGGGGTCACTCTTACTGCAGATTGTGCCGTTTGAAAAAATGCATCCATGTAATAATTAACATTAATATGAGAGAATTAAGTGCACAGAGTGTTAAAAATGAACCAGGAAACAGAAGTATCTCCAAGACAAGGTGAAAGGTCGCAAGGCCAGAGGTCAAGCAGCAAGCTGGAGCCTAGGCTTTGGCAGAGGAGCACAGATGAACCCTGGGCTACTGTCCTATCTATTCATTGAGCACGAACTTCACTGGGGACAGCCACCACTGGGGGGGTCAGGGCAGGCGGGGGCTCAGTCCCCACCCTTTGTCCTTACCTTGTCCCTGGCCGCGTCCCAGGGTGACACACAGCCACAGCCAGAGGCAAACCCCGAGGCGGGGGCTCATGTGGGCACTCATGGTCTGAGCCTGGGGAAGGAGAGGCCACTCAGCCTTCTGTCTGTCCCCTCCTGAGGGCAAAGCCAGAGCTTCTCCATCCACTCCCTGTGGGCTGGGGCTGAGTCCACTCCAGATGTTTCACATACAGGTGGGAACACTCCAAACAGTTCACCCACAGCCGCCCAGCCCGTCCACTGTGGGCCACATCCGCAGGTCCCTGCAGGAGCTTCCTAGAGCAAGAGGTCAGCTGCCCCTCTGCCAGCCACCCCCCAGACACTGGCTGCCACAGCCTGGTCTTGCATCCCGCCGTCAGGACTTTCTCGGGGCCAGCACGGTCCTCACCAAGGCTTTGGTCACACTCATCACAAGACCAGACTGGGATGGCCGCTGTCAGAGCCAAGGGGCCTGGGGAGAAAACTGAGGGGGGTGGGGCAGGTCCCCAGGTTGAACAGAACCTCGGAGTGGCAGCACACCAGCCTTGTGGCCCCAAAGCCGGCCTCTTAGCAGAGAGGGGAGACCCACGGAGGTGGAGTTGGGGTTCTGGGGAGCCCTCTGGGCCTCTGCTGACAGTAAAGAGGGCTACTCAGCACAGGGTCTCAGGCCCCGGCCACTCTCAGCCCAGCCTCATCCAGGGCACAGGTGGCCAAGGTGGGCATGCAACCTAACTGCTGAGCTTATGGGGTCTTCAGTCTGTGAAAGGGCCAGAGGGCTATGTGGGTTCCCAGTCCCTGGATCCTCCAGATCCACATTCTGAAACCAGACCCTTTCCCTCCCCAGAAACCTGGCCTGACTCAGTGGGACCCCTTCCAGGACACAGAGCTCTCTGCCCACCCTAGGAGCTCAGCTCCTCCCATCCCAGCCTTTGTCAAGGTCATCCTTAGATCACAGGCCTGGGCAGACCCCCGGGGTGCCCCTCATCCACCTAGCCCCCAGTCACCAACCTGCTCACGTCCACTTGGGTCCTGCTGCAGGCACAGGGAGGCCAGGGCTTATGAAGGCCCTTCCTCTGACGTCACTGCCCTGCCCAGCCCTCGGCCTTCTCCTCTCCCCTCCCCTCTCCTCCCCTGCTCTCCACCCTTCCCATCTGCTGCCCAGGGCATCCCTCTAAGAGTGGGAGGAACAGAGGTCCCAGTGTAAAGGACCCCATCTCATGGTGGGGGACCCCACACAGCATGGGGCACAGGGCTAACCCAACACCTTTACCCTCATTCTACAGGGTCTGCCCCAAAGAGGGGCTCAGGAACAAAGGCCACCACGGTATGCATGATGGGTATTGGGGTTCTCTGGCAACCGGGGAGGGAGCAGCGTGGAGCAGCATCCAGACCCCAGGGCCACACCAGCTGGCACCCTGCCCTGGTCCTCCAGCAGGACTCCCAGGATCAGGATCCCAAACCTGAGCCACTGGGTCTGTGCTGCAGTCCCCAGTGCCCAAGCCCACCCTGGCTTTACCTGGAAGACTCCCTCTGCACAGGTCACATCTGTGCCACCCTCCTCCGTCTGCAGCCTCAGCCAATCTCAGAATCTCTGTGCCTTCCCAGCCTACCCTGACAGCCCCACGGCCTGGTAGATGTGGTCCCCCAGAATCAGTGCCTAGATGGGGGATCAACTCCTGCCCAGGCAGAGAGGTGGGTGGGCCTGACCTCTAGGTGCTCTCAGAGGCTGCCAGGATCCCAGTAAGGCTGGACCACCCTAGCTCTACTCAGGGTTCAGCTTCTGCAGGCAGAGGTACTTTTGGAGGAGGGGACACAGCACAGGGAGAAATGAGATTCACTGGAGTCTGGGAAGTGATGGGGGGTTATGGGCTAACGTAAGGGCTGGCCCTCCTCTGACCCTGTGGGGCTCACCCCTTCCCCAGACCCCCAGCCCACCAACTCGAAGCTGGGGCATGCTGCTGGGGACCCATGGTCCCAGGCCTGTGTGAGTTAAGTGAAGCCTCCTGCCACAGGCAAGATCATCACAGACGGGCACCTCCTTAGTGCCTGACCCTGGGACAAGTCAGCCTGCAGTGGATCAAAGACAGACGCTCTGGGTGGACAGTGCAAGGTAGACAAGGGCCAGTGCAGGAAGGGCAGTGCCCAGGCACAGCTAAACGCTGTGGGCACAGAATGAAGGAGCCAGCCAGATGTATCCACCCCCTCCCCACTCCCAGCTCTAGGAAGGCCTGGCCTCTGGGCACCCTGGTTATTGACCCTGCATCATGGAGATAGCAAAGCCCCTGTCCTGGCAAAGGTTCCACTCTGCTCCTGGACTGGGGGGATGGAGCTGGGCTCTGAGGCACTGGGCCTGCCTTCCTCCCTAACCACACTTTAATCTTCATTTCTGAGCAGTCCAGGGCAGGCTGGGTGGGGGCCACCATGGACTCAGAGGGCAAGGCCAAGTTCAAGTGCTGACCAGGCTCAGGGGTAGGGGATGGGGGAGAGGCCCTCA